GCGCGCGCGTGCACGTGTGTGCGTGCGTGCGTGCGGGCGCGCGTGCGCGTGTGTGTGTGTGTGCGCGCGCGTGCACGTGTGTGCGTGCGTGCGTGCGGGCGCGCGTGCGCGTGTGTGTGTGTGTGCGCGCGCGTGCACGTGTGTGCGTGCGTGCGTGCGGGCGCGCGTGCGCGTGTGTGTGTGTGTGCGCGCGCTTGTGTGTGTAGCCACTAGCCAACAGTAGGCCTACAGGTTTGTGATAGTAGCGCAATGCCAACTTGAGGCTGAACAAAATCTGTTAGTCGGAATAGTTTTATTTGCGATAGTCATAAGGATGAGCAGTTTTTCTGTTAATACCTAGGTTTGCTTGCATTTAGCTGTTGCTGATCTTACACACACACATATGCGGCTATATGCACATATATAGGCACACGCATATGGCAGGCGAGGTGGGACACAAATGGTATTTAGTGACAGTCACAAATTCGAATTAATGTCTATCATATTATATTCTCATTAGTGACTATCATATATTCCATTTATTGACAGCCATTAAATCAACCAATCAGATACAACTTATTTTTTCTCAGCCAATCATGGGCATCGAATTATTGCCAAACACTAAATGATTTAATGATAGACACAAATGGTATTTAGTGACAGTCACAAATTCGAATTAATGTCTATCATATATATTCCATTTAGTGACAGTCATTAAATCAACCAATCAGATACAACTTATTTTTTCTCAGCCAATCATAGGCATGGAATTATTGACAAACACTAAATGATTTAATGATAGACACTAAATACAATTTTTGTGTCCCACCTCGCCTGCCATACACACGCACGAACGCACGCACGCACCCGCGCCCTCCCGCGCACAGTTTCCCTCGCCGTCACAGCAGTAGCAGCCAGCCAGTTTCACAGTAAGGCAAGGCCGCATCACGTAAACAGCCTGCGGTCAGCAGCTCGTAGTCGCACGTTTCACCGCAGCTATATGCGATCCACAGCCCAGCATTACACTCGAATCGTACGCTGCTATCCTTCAAGACGATAGAATTTGGCACATTTCCTAAAATCCCCTCCAAGTAATCACTTACACTTCTTTTTAACTTTACCGTGCACAATGATAGAGAAGATAATTACATATTAAATCTCAATAGGAAACGATTTCGAAGTAAAGTATAGTAGTAAAGTTAGTAGTAAAGCTGATTTGAAATTTCATGTTCACGTGGCATAGGCGGCATGAATGAACGAATAAAAACAGATGAATGTTGGCAATGTCCCATTAATTATTCCCTATTGGCTGTTTAAGTGCTAAACAATAATTGATTTTAAAACACGTACTATATCATAATTTTTAGCTCCGCGGTATTGGCACGAACTGGTTCACCGTCATTTTGAATTGAAGCATGAGATTCTTTCTCATATACAGGCCACAGTTGCAGATGCGCCCTACACCAACGGATGCGGGTATCGATGTAATCGTAGAATCCGGTGGTGGCATGGAGTAACTCGGCGTGGAGCACCAACATTGTTTACGATACTCACTATAGTTGACCATGTGAGTTCACGGGCGATCTGTTATAATTGTGTGTTTGTTTGCTTAGCTAACGTCCTGCGGACTGTGCGTACAGGTTAATGTAATCATCGTTGTATAGTGACGTGGCTTGAGATCGTACACTGACGGAGGAAATAGGGCATCGTCAGTAAACCCGAATATGTTTAGTAGTGTGTAGTGTACCGTTATACTCGTCATGATGCACATTTATCGATTCATCGATTGTTCTCGATGCTCTTGCGGCTGCTAATCGATGAGAATTTCCATCAATATAAGGCTATAGGTAGATATATCCAGAGCCGGTTTGTGAGTTTTCCTGCGTTTTGTGCGTATTTTGTGGCTTTTCCGTTCACTAGATTGCATACAACTCTACCTGTCAGGGGGCAGAATGCCATCGACCATGATTTACGATTATAATACATAGTACGCGCTATTACAGTTACATCTAATAACAAATATTATAATCCACTAATTTACGAGGTAGGCGTGATGACGGTATTATCTAGCGTGAAGGGGGTAAGCGCACACATGTAAGTGCTTGGTAAATAGAACTGATTTCAAGCTGCAATTCACAGTTCAACGGCAGTGTCCGGGCAAAGTGACGTGCAAAGGCTCGCGAAAATGCAATAAGAACTGAATAATGCAATAAGAAAATTTAAAGAGATCCG